AGGCTGTGCACACAGGGCGCCTCTTTGTTGATGTGGTCTTTGAGCCCCAGCAGTATTTTGTAGCATTCATTGTAGAGGTCTTAGACCGCTATTGTTAGCTATAGATGGAATTAAATAAAAGGGCTTGGTGAGTTTTACGGCTTTTATCTTTTTGCTGAAAAGCTAAGAAGTTGTATTCAATTAGAAAAACTATTTGGTAGATCTGCAATTTTGGGAATATAGCTCAGTTTTTAGCTGAAAATAAAACAGATTTTTTCCCCATTAAAACGACAATAAAGAAATAAAATCTGTATAAATGCACAAGAACAAAGAAAGAGAATGAAAGAAGACATGGCAAAAGAGCAGAGTTGTGAATGAAATTCTGGAGAGGTAAATGACTGGTATCCCACTGGTTGGGCCCAAGGAAACCTGCAGAGAGAACCTAGCGGGAAGAAACTGGCCAAGCGCCCACATCACAATCCCCAGCAGACTCAGGAATGAGGGGCTGTAGCGCTTGCTGAGTCAGCATTGAAGTTGGGCTAAAATGAAATTGGTTTGAAAGTTTTCATAAGAAGTGGCAGACCCCACCAGATTCCCTTCACCATCCCCGCTACTGTGTCATCTCTCCATCTGAAGGCTGTGATGGAGGTGACGGGGGCGGAGGCCTTGCATTTAAGGGTAACGGAGTAGCAGGATATGGCAAGGGTCTTTACTGAAGATGGGAGGGTGAAGTGGAAGCTCTTCCCAGGACACTGACAGCCAGAAGATGTGAGGATTTCTCCCAGAAGGCACCCTCCCGCCAAGGGACAGAGATCTGTATGGAAACTGACCTGTGGAAGCTCAGTTAAGTAACTTCACTCAGAGGGCTCCCGACGGTCATCCTTGCCCCTCACCTTGAACTTTCTTTGGCCTCACTGTTGAATGTGAACTGATGGCCAAGCTTCAACAGACATTTGAAACACCTTTAAAATGAAAGACAGACCAACACAAATAGGTAAAAGAACCTGGTCTTACTTCATGGATGAGACAAGGCAGAAAGCAGATGGAAGTGTTCAAGAAACTGAGAGACCCAGGGAGAAGGAAGACCATGTGTCTGTGGAATCAGACCGCAGTGCTGTCTCGAGGGACACTCGGAGAAAGAGACCTTGGACATTTAAAATAGAAGTCAGTAAGGGATAGGAGAAAAATGCCAGTAGAAGGCGTGGAAGATAAAGTTCAAGATATCTGCCCAAGTGTAGAAAAGAGAAAATATCGGAAAGGTCATCTTGTAGGATACCTAGCACTTAGCTAAATGAGGGTCAGAGAGAGAAAGCAAGAGGACATGGACAGAGAGGAAATGTACTAGAATGTCTCCCAGAACTGAAGGGTTTGAGTTTCTAGCTCAAAAAGGGCCCGCTGAGTAATGGTACAGTTACTTCAAAAAAGAGCCAAACCAAGGTGTATTATTTTGAAATTGTAGAAAACCAGAGAAAAGAGAATAATGATTCCAGACAGAAGATTCCAGTTTGCATATAAAGGGTCCGGGGGTGGGGGGGAAGACTGGTGCCAGTCATTTAAGCATAACCATGGAGTCTGGAATACGTGACACGACACAGCACTTTCTGATTCAGAGTGAGATGATTTCCAGTCCAGACTGTTGAGTGGTAGATGGGTGGAACAAAGACATTTCAAAACTTCTAAGGCAAAATTTACTGTCCATTCAGCCTTTCTCAAAAAGGTACTGGAGGATATCCTCCAGCAAAATGATGGAGTGGGCCAAGAAATAGAAAGGTACAGGCTCCCTGAATAGGATCTAGCACAGGAGGTCATCCCGAGGGCGATGAAGAGGGAGAGAGAGTCTGGAAGATGTCTTGTCTGTGCAGTCATCCTGCAGAGCACCCCTTGCACGGTGGAGAGGGCGTTGGAGACTGAAAATGGTGTTTATACATGAGGTGATAAATGTTAGCTATACTGTCTAAAACAAATGGCCAGTAAATTCCTGAGTGTGTTTCTGTGAGGGTGTTTTTTCAGTTCTGTGTTTTCAGCGATAAATAAGACGCAAACTAAACACCCCTCACTAAAGGAATGCTTATGCCATTGGATACCTGTTGCTATGAAACATTATGAATTAAATCTACGCCAGTTGACTTGGGTATACATACATTTCATAAAATACCCTGGTTTTGGAAAAACAGTTACCATAAAATAAAATGGAACAGCACAAGTCCGTGTCTATGCACACATGACCGTAGAGAAAGATCGATGCCTGAGAAGAACACTCCGCAGGTTACCAGTTACCTACGTGAGGGGAAGGGGCGGGAAAGAAGACTCTGAAATACACGTGTGGTTTGGGTGTGAGCCCTCTTAACGGGAGATAGACGCATAAAGATCGTTACTGAACGCATGATTGTAAAAACAGTCATCTCACAATGGGTTTTTTCCTTCCTTATGCTTTTCTGTATTGCAGTGTTTTATAGTGAGCCTGTATTACTTAGAACCCCCACCCTCAAAAAAAAAAAAAATACGCCAAAGCTCATTTCTTTGTGGGGTGAGGAAAGATGGGTGATCACGAGTGTTTGTTTTTTGATATGCTCTTTCATTTCCTTTGGTCTCACTAAGGGCGTAAGAAATGGTATTGATAAATTAGAAGGGAAAGTGATGCTTCCGAAATAAAAGATATATTTTATACTGGATTTCTGGAGAATAGGGTTCATAGATAAAGAAACAGTATCCTGAACTGAAATTCTACCCTACTTTGGGTGGGGGGGTGTTTCATGGGGTGAGGTTGAGGGAATAGGTAGTCAAGGTAAGCGTGCATCGCCTCTGAAGGGGAAATACTTAAGATACAGGACATTCTGGTACATTTTCCTCCTGGCGGTTAAGTATGAAGTAGAGGAGAACCCTCTCATAATGCTGGTGATACCGTTGCTTTTCTGTTCAGGAGGAATACATAATGAGCATTAAGGAATTGGGCCCCTGGAGAAGGATGGATTTGGATGCATGTTCCTTATGGTTTTGTTAGTCATGGATGTAAAAAGTGTTCTGGTCAGAATAAAATCAGTCAATCAGTAATGTGCATAGGGTCTGCTTGGCTGAACAGAAACCTGATCCTCTTGCAGCTGCGGCCCTGCTAGTCTGTGAGCACCCAGGGCAGGAACTTGGTTACCGGCGCCTAGCCTTGCACCCGAGACTGGGGATTGCTCAGCTATTCCCAAGGGAATGTTTTTTTGTGTAAGTGTGTGTGAGTCTGGTAAATAATACTCACCAGTTCCATACAAAGTTGCATTTGATACATTGTGTGGTAACGAACTTGATCATTTTTTTCCCTTTCATTAATTTCTGCCATACTTTTACTGATGAAATTCAAACATGAAAGGACACCTTCATCGGGGTCATGAAGTTACGAAAGCCTACTTTGGGCGTGTCGTGACAGGCCTTTTTAAAGTCATTTGATGTTTTCTTTTGAGGGTCTCCTTCTTTGAGTTTTTTCTGTTCTTTTATGTCCTTGCAGATTCTACTTCACAAGCTTAGGGAGTACAAATCAGGAGTTGATTATTGTTTTAATCTTGAATTAGATAGTCTTTGTTCTGTTGGTTTGCCATCTTACCAGTTATGTAATAGGTAGCATTTCTATATTCATTCATTGGTTATTTTAGCTATTTATTCAGTAAATATTAAATTCCTCTTGCTCGTTCATTACTCTGTTGGGGTACAAAAGCAAGGGCTATCTCTGAAAGAACTTCACTAAAGGGGGACAGAGAAGCCAGGAGTGAGAAACGCAAAACAAGGAGCACTGGAGCGAGCATGGTGGTCAGGGAAGGCTTCCTGGAGGAGCCATAGTTGAGCTGGACATGGATGCTGGGAAACGAGCCTTTTAGGCTCAAGAGATCATGGACACGTGGAACTCGTGGCTTAATCTGAGAGCTCTGAGTAGTGGCTGGGATCTACCAGGGTGCGTGACAAAGACTGGCGCAGGAGAGGGGCGAAGGTCAGGTTCTGAACTGTGTGTGTTCTAAGCCCAAGGTACTAAATTCAATACAAAACAGTACAAGAAAAGATTAATTACTTTAGCAGGACAGTGCATTGTAACATATTTGTCTTTTTCAAGTAACTTGAAGCAGTGTAGAAAGAAATTAAAGGGTTCTATACAAGAGTCTAATCCATTTAGTATATGAATATGATGATATATTTGGTTGGTAAGGTTTATTGAGATAACATTGTAGTACCGTAGGTTGCAAATAATGTTCAGATGCCAGTGGCTTGGCTGCTTCTCCTATTTTCTATAATCATGTTTTGGTTTGCTTTAATACTAAAGTAGAATCAAGGAAGGGCAAAAGTCCAGCAGGTGCATGAGATTATTGGGCTACTGTCACCTAGATTCTCCCTCGGTATTACTGGGGGCTTTCCCAGATGATTAAGAAAATTGTTTGGCTACCATAAAAACATAAAAGTTAATACAGCATTATGAATTTTAAGAGTGTCTTTGAATGTAGTCTTTTAAAACAGATGCTTAAAAACATTTGTTGAATGAATAGCCCTGTGGTATAGCTAAATGATCTTATTAAAATTTAATCATAAAGACCGATTATCTACAAGAAGAAGAATGCTATGCTGTTTGGTTGGTAGGTGACAGTTATCCTGAGAGACCTCCCATTAGATGAAACTATAAAAACAATTATTTGATGATGCAAAGAAAGTGGATTAGGGACCAGAGACTGAGTAGTGGAGTGGTCTTTCCTTAAAAATTACAGAAATTACCCACAATTTGACCATTACATACCGTCCTTCCATATAAGTTTGTTAAAAAACAAACAAACATTACTCCGCTCATTCTTTTTGGGGACCAGAGAGGCAGGTAGATAAAAACAGCGAAGCTTTTTCTTGGAAGTTGTTGTCCTTCACTTTCGTTGATAGTTGGAGAATTGTCTGTAGTGTTTGATCAGTTTAATTTTACCGTGACTTTATTTACAGTAAATTCTGGTTTGTAAATCCTGGTAATTTACTTTTTAGGTATAGCACAGTTAATTATTTTTCCCTTTCAGGTTATGCTTCCTCCTGGAGCCCAGCATTCTGATGAAAAAGGTGCTAAAGAAATTATCCTTGATGATGATGAGTGTCCTTTACAGATCTTCAGGGAATGGCCAAGTGACAAAGGTAAAGGGTAATTTTATTTGTTAAAGAATTACTTATATGCTACATTAAATTTCTGCCAGATATGTTAGTTGTTAACTGTGAGGATGCTGGGGAGCGTGCGTGGCAGGATTTTTTGGTTTTGTGTGTGTGTGTGTGTTTGCTATATAGTTTTTTAGCTCATTCCTAGACTTGACGGACGTTGTCCTGAGGGCCACACTCCGCTTGTGTGAGTTTGGAGTGTAGGCCTGGAACAGGCTGTCCCGCCATAGGAGGAGAACCTTGTCTGGAAGAAACAGGACGGGGGTCCCGCACTGTGTCAGCCAGTGCAAGAGCACTGTTCTCTGTCAGTGGCAGGGTCCTCTCCACGCTGAGCACTTGTAACGGGGACAGTGACCTACAGCCTTAGAGATTGTCCAGGAGTTTAGTCATTTCAAATGAGAAATCCAGACTTTTCGCCATTCAGTTTCCCCTAATTATTTCAGAGCAGTGAAGGTTGAAAGCTACAGTTTTCTTGCCTTCAGTTTCACACTGTAAGCTGGGTGTCCTTGAGTAGAGGCCTTTGCGTAAGGAAGACATACAGATTGATTGCCCATTCAGCCTATCAGTAATGTCGACTGGTAGTTTAAAGTATACACTTGCTTAGTCTACCTCTTTATAATATAAATTCAAATTGCTTTAAATTCTGAGTTAATTCAGTTGAGTTAAATAAAAATCAGGTCAACTAAAAATATATTTGTATATATGTATTTGTGTATGCATGTAGTGTGTGTGTGTGATTGTATTTATTGATCATGGGATTACTTACCAATATGAACATTGATTTGTTCTTAAACTGATGCTGTGTTGTTTTCAAGCATGTAATGTGCTTGGGTAGTTGTTAATTTAAAATAAGCTTTGGAAATTGCTAGAATTTTTCAGAACACGAGTGACTAATATTTCCTCTACTGAGTAAAAGTATAAATTGGGTAAGCCTTCACTCAGTCACCCCTTGGGAGATGTTAAATTATATTTTCTTGGTAAATCTTAGAAGAGTTGATGGTGAGTCATTTGGCCATGTATGCTGATTTGAGTCTGCTTGATGATTGACAATGTGCACTGTTCTAGGGGTTTTAGTCTTTCAGTTGAAGAGGAGGCCACCAGACTATATCCCAAAGAAAACTAAGAAGCATGTCGATGGGAAGCTGGTGAAGGGCAAGGAGAGAGCGGAGGGGTCGGGCTATGGCTCTGCGCTTCCGCCTGAGAAGCTGCCCTATCTGGTAGAGCTAAGCCCAGGTGAGACATACTATCAGTATACATTGTTCTATCCTCAAATGTTTATGCTTTTAATGAATTTTATTTAACTATCCTTTCTGTTGGCTGACAACCCTTTTTTAGACCATTTATTTTTTTTTGAAGTTATTTTTATAATATATTTAAAAAAAACCAGAACCTTAAGGTCACAGGATATGTATATTTATGCATAAAAATAGAGTTCACATGGACAAAAACGAATACTGAAAAACAAAATTTAAAATAGTGAACATGGAGAGTTTAAGGAGAAGTTTAAATGATCCACTTTTAAAATTTTTTTCCAAAAATAACCTATAAAATACTTAACCTAAAAAATGACAAACTGAAATGTACTCTTAGGGCAAATTTAATAGAAGCAAGTGTGTGTGTGTGTGTATTTACCATAATATTGTTTAATGTATGAACAGTGTCTGAGAAGGTATCTTTAAATTTAACAGTACATCTAAGAAATCAGTCTGTAAGAGGAAGGATATTTGTTCGGTTTTAAAATAATAATAGACTAAGTTTATTTTCATGTTAGATATTTCTTTTTAGAGCTCTCTTAATTAAGCTAAAGCTGTTGTTCTAAGTTAGTCATGAGGTAGAGAAATATGTTGACACTCCTACAGAAGTGTTTTATGCACATATCCCAATGTAGCATATAGATGTGACACACACACATATATGTGTATATGACATTTTATCATTCAGCTAAGCGATACCATTTAGTAGTATGTAACCTGTAGTATGAAATGCTGTGAAGAACAGAGCATTGAGCTCTCCTGCCCAGAACTGCTTTTATTTTTTATTTTATTTTTTTAAAGATTTATTTATTTATTTTAGGGGGGAGGGGGGGGGTGAGGGGCAGAGGGAGAGAATCCCAGGCAGACTCCCGCTGAGCACGGAGCCTGATGTGGGGCACGATCCCAGGACCCTGAGATCATGACCTGAGCCGACATCATGAGTCAGACTGTCAGCTGACTGAGCCACCCAGGCGCCCTGAGAAATGCTTTTAGATAAAGCTCAATTAGTAAGTACAGAAAAAGCTGGAAGCCAAAATGTAGATCATCTGTGGTTGCTTGGACAGGAATTAAGTTTTTCTCTTCTTTGATTCATGAGCATTTATTTTTGTTGGCGAGATTATAACTAATGAATAGATGAGGTACCTATGGTCCTACGATCTTATGGCACAAGTAGGACCTGTCGATACAGGAAAAATGGTATTGGTTTGACTAATACTCTGTAATTTACAATCAGTGGCAATATGCTACAGGTAGTAGTTTTTATACTTAATTATGTTTGAGGAGTTTTTTAGATTAATTAGCTGTTTGTGAGGAGTATGTTAGTGTTGCTTTGTCCCTCAGTTCTCCGGCTGAAAAATTCATTTAAACTTTCTCACTGTGGTTCGGAGACATGTCCCCGTATTGCTGTGCGCTGTGGCATATGTGAGCGCGGGGGGCTGGTCATCTGTGGCAGTAACGGCAACTGAGGGCCAGCCATTGTGTTGGAACTTAACAAAATTTTAGGATCTTTGGGCATTGGGTCTGCTTTTTAAAATTTTGCATTACATGCTAGAAACTAATGATTGTTTTCTCTAAATCTAACTTTTTGAGGATTTAGGAATATTAGTCTAGAGAGAATTGATAATAGCAGCTGACAGAGTAATTTTCAAATGAATAATGGAGAGGTGGTTTGGATGGGTCGCAGAGACAGGATGAGAATTCAGTCCTTCATCTATTTGACAAGTATTTATTGATACTTACTATGTCAGACCCTCCCTGTCCTGGGCCTTTGAGGTGGAGCACTGACTGAACAGATTAAACCCGCTGACCTTGGCAACTTCCATTCTAGTGAGAATTGCTATTTTGACTGCTTATTTCATATTTTTAGTTTCCCAGCTAAAAAAAATACATAGACGTTTTTATAGGTGTGGGAAAATAACAGGCCATAGATAAAAATTAATTCTCTAGTACTTTTCACCAAATACCGGGTTAGTGCTCATAACACATTTCCTCTGTTCGTGGCACTCAGCATTTACTGAGTGGCTGCTTCAGGGAAAGCAGTGAGTACAAAAGTGAAGAGGGGTGTTCCTGCCTTCACGTGACTCCCATATGAGGCATCATCGTAACACAGTGTGTGAGGAGTCCCTCCCGAGTACCCTGGGCTTCCGGCCCATAGCCCGGCTTGTGGTTCCACAGGTGTCTGTCCTTCACCTCGGCTCCCACTGGCGCCAGGGTGAGCAGTTGGTGGTGGGCCTGGAGGCTGGGCCGGGATCTTTCTCACACCAAAGCCACATTCTGTTTACTAGGTCATGCTGTCCTTTTCAGTTTTTGTTATTATATTATGAGTTGAGCACAGTCAGCATGCTGAATGAAATTGATTTCTTTTTCCATTTACAATAATACCGGTAAATGTTGGTTTGTCATGAATAGATAAGTGCTGTCCATGCACTGAACATACTACCAGCCAAGCAAGTATCCTCCAGGTCGGGCCACGGTGCAGGAGTTGTAGATGGGAGGTTTTTGAGATGGGGGTGTATGCTTGTATTGTCTTTACTGTCTTTTGGAGAGAGAGGGGGTAAAAAGTCATTTTATTCTTTGGTTTGGTTTTGAATGTGTTCAGCCGCGTTGGGTGGTAGTGTTCTACATGGTTAACTAACTTGCTCTCCTGCTGCTTGGTGACTCAGCTGTCGTCTTGGTGTTTTCCTTAACAGTGTGCATTGGTTTCTAACACGCGCGGCCTGGAGCGCTCATGTCTTGTCCTCACAGCTCCGAAAGCTCTGGGTGAAACGTGCTTTTCATCCTTTGAAAGGGGTCCCACTGCAGCTCACCCTCTTCTGTCTCTTCCTCCTTCCCTCTTCCGCGTGTTCTGCGTGGCCTCTGTCCTGCCGACGCTGCCCTCACCTGGGCCCCGTGCATGTGTCTCTAACCCCAGGGAGAAGGGATCGCTTTGCCTGCTACAACTATCACCCTTACGAAGGTAATGCTATGTTCATACTGCTTTTCTAACTAGAGCACTAACAGAGCCTCTTGGGCAAAATAATGTTAAGTGGCCAGACATTTTATGTATTAGTTTCTTAATCGATACAAGTAACTTCATTCTAAGAAATGTAATGTGCCATCCTCCCTTGGTTGACGTCTCGTCAGCACTCCATGTGCAGTATTCGCTTCATCTCACAGAAGCCGGGTTTGCAGAAATGTCCAGCTCCTTTACTCAGGCTAAGTCTAGAGTGAGAAATTTGACTGAAGAAGGACAGGAGCTGGTTTCCTATCCTTCCCCTCCTCCCCCCAAAAAGGTTAGGAAGAGGGGAGAAGCTGGGGGAGGGAAGGGTGGGGGGAGAGTGAGGGTGGTGGGTAAGAATGCACCCAGGACCCAGCGGCGGGTGGGAGGGGCTCCGCGCTCACACTCAGCTGTAATGCTGATGGGGAGGAAGTGTCCCCATCACTGGCATGTGTCTGACGGCATTTGGGAGGGCGAGAGGAGGACTCAGCCACACACCTGGCATTCACTCATATTTCCTGTCTTTTTTGTAGGGAACTAACGTATTACATTATGACCAGGTTTTAGGGTGTTCCTTAGGATTCTCCTTGTTTTCCTGGTTGAAGTTCGTTTCTTCTTGTTAGCAGAGATGTACTTTCTTACTTAGAACATTTTTCTCAAATTTGTCTATTTCTGTTTCTGTCATCTTCAGGAGTACAGCTAGTTTTTGGTTTTATGGAAATACTTTTTGTCTGTTTTTATGTTTTAAATGTTATTTTTTTACATGTTGAATGTAACAGATGCTTTTCCATGCTGTATAAAGTTTACCCACCTTTTAGCATCTTGTATTTGTTTGTTGAATTATCTCCAAACTGATAGTACAGATTTTCATTGGATATTAACTGAACTTGGAGTTTGGAGTTTTGTTCTTTTTTAAACAAAAACAGATAAATAAGTGATATTTATCACCTATATTGATACTCATAGAGAGTCTAAGACCTGTTTTTATTGTTTTTTTTCTAATTCCTGAAAAGGATTCTTTAATGTTTTCATGTGTTTGTTAATTTCATACTGTAAAGTAATGGAAACTAGAGAGAAAATGGCATTTCCTTTTTTACTTGGTGTGTATAAAAAAATGCATAGAATAAACTCATCAAAGCTTTGACCAAAGTGCTTTTAGTTCTCCATTTGTATTTGAGGAGAGCTAGTTTATTTGTTTCTCCGAATAGAGTTAGTGAAAATATGCTCTAAGCTCTGTACTTCATTCAGTAAGCTTCAGAAATTGGGTATAACTGTCATGTAGATTCACTAAACTGTGAGCTCTGTGGGGATGTGAATGTGTGTTCAGTTTCTCCCCGTGCCTGGGACCCGGGAAACGCTCGGTCAGCGCTCTTTAAATGAACGAGTCCCTCCCCGTCCCCTAAGTGGCATGGCAAAAACAACACTTAGCACCACATACTAACTTCACCCGGGGTTCACCTGGGGAAGCAAGCAGAGGCAAAAGGGGAGTTGGAGGTATAGAATTGTTGTAAAAACAAAAGTACTCTTTAAAAAATGTTGTTATGCTCTGTTCATAATGGTCTATTTTCCCTTAATATTTAGAATACTAAGAGAAACTTCCGGTTATATCTCAAATTAAAAAAAAAAGCAAAAGCAGAAAAACGAGATGCAGAACAATGTGAATAGTAATTTAAGGGTACCAGAGTTGGCAAATAAAATTCAAGACACCCAGAGACATGAGCAGTTTTAGATAGAAAACCAGTTTTTGTGTAGATTGGGTCCCAATGATTGCCCATTTGACTAGATGCCATGTATTTCATTTGTCAACCCTAAAGAGTATTCTAATGTTGGTACAAAAAAAAAAAAGGGAGAAAGAAAAATACGTGTATTGAGTTGCTTAATTATATATGCACAAAATAGATTTTAAAGATTTGCTTCTGGGTAGGGAATTAAGGCAGGAAAGGAAGGGTGCTTTTCATTGTTTACTTCTTGTGCCTTTTAAATTTCAAACCACATGAATATTTTATGTATTTTTAATTCTACATTATGACATGAAGAAAAAACCCAAAACCCCTCTGGTAGAAGCAGTGTTGTATGTGGGGGGGTTACTTAGATTTGTCTGTGCTTTTAAAAGTGCTCCAGATTTGTCGTCTCTGGGGAAGAAAGGTGCTCAGGTGCTCTTGTTCAGTTGAGGAAGGGGAGAAAATACAAGATACTGTTTTAGGCAACACTTTCCTGTGTTCATTAATGCCCATGAGATGGGCCTCGTACTCTTAATGAAGAGAAGGGAGTGAGATTTTCCAAAAAGAAAGATATTGCTTTTTTGAAGATCACCTGCCTACATCTCCCCTCACTCCCCAACTCAAACCAGACACCACTGTATCTAGTAAATTCTGTGGCCACCGTTGGGGTTTATTCAAAGTCTGTCCATGAAGGCTTTATCTGTATTTTCTATTGCTGTGAAAGTGTAAGAAAAGAGGAACTGGGAAGGCAGCTTGCCTCTTCCCCGCGTGTGGGGAGGCTTCCAGTGTAGTGGCGGAGGGAGGAAGGAGGGGCTGCAGGGGAAGTTGGTATTTCCCCCTTTTTCTTTACACCTGTAAGTCTGTTGATCTAGAAGAGTACATAATAAACCATTTATTAGTCACAAGATACCTTTCAGAAACACTCAAAATGCAGAGGAATATTAATGTGAATTTTTTCTTTCACCCCTAAACACATATTTTTCATATTCTTGTATTTTTAACTTTGTTTTGATTGTTCTTCATTTATTTGCTTCTTTTGCTTTCTTTGTAATTCATTTGTGTAATTTCTCTGTAACCATATTGCTTTATTTTCTTCATTTTTAGCTACTAATTATTCACTGTTAATAAATCTTCGTTGAATGTACTGTGGACCAGACACTGTACTGATCGACAGAATCAAGAGATTTTTTTTTTTTTTAAGAGATTGTTTTTTAATCTGGCCGCCAAGGAGCTCAGAGATGGGATGGGGGGGCAAGTAAATGGAAATAATCATGGAATAGGGTTAGTGGTATGAAGATAAAGTAGTCTGGGGTGCTATGGAGGATGGGAAGAACACAGAATGCTTCCTGACTGGGAGTATTTATTGGAACTGCCTGTGGTGTTTAAAGCAAGCAAAATAATCCACATTCCTGGGGGATTTGGACTCAGCAGTTCTAGAAGGGACCTGCCCACCTCTGGGAGAAGGCTCAGGTGGTTCTGATGCCTCATTTTGGATCAGGACGTGGAGTTGGAGTTGAAAGTAAAACTTTAAAAAAAATGCTTGCGTTGCCACCACACACAATGAGGTTATTCCAGCTGTGAAGCATTGCAGATGATGAACCAGTTTTTTCATGGATATTAGGCGTTGTGGCTCTCAAACACAGGTTACTTTCATCCAGACTTGACAGGTTTCAGAAATATTTCAGAAGTGGGAAATGTGATTAGAATGTTATTTTGTGTACTCTACGATTAACATCAATTGTAACGGAACTTTTATATTCATGAGGTATTTTGTCTGTGAGAGTTCAGACCACACCACAGCTAAGAGATTTTAGCAGTCTGAAATCCACGTACACTCCCAATGTTTAACTTCTGAAGCTCTCACAGCTTAATTCCTGGTCCCAGTGACCAGAGATTTTAACTGGCAACTTAATAAGTGAATCAGCAAGTTACTAATGCATTAAAGTTGATCAGGGAGACTCTTCGTGCCCCTTTTAGGACTTTGCACACCCACACTAGGTTGGCTCTCACAGCTGGGAGATGGGTCATGATTCACTTCACATTAATTCTGTGAGGCATGTTTCCTTGTGTGTTAACAGCTCTGAAATCAGAATAAATCTCTGATTGACATCCTCTGTTAGGTTGAATATATAGTAGGTGAGAAGTGAGGAAACATTTGGGTATGAGCGGATGTCCTGGTGCTGGTTCTTCTTCCTTCTCCCCACGCCATCCCCATCATAGAAATTCATGCACAGGGAAGTTAAACATTTTAGCAGTTCACAGAGGTATAAAATGACACAAAAAAAACCCAGTGTCCCTTTCTGGCCCCCCCCTCCCCGTTCCACTCCACAAAGCTAAGCACTTTTAATGGTAGTTCTTACTGGAACTTACTGTCAGGAATGGGCATTGGAGTCACTTGAGATTATTCGGAAGGCATGTGTGTGGGCCTCATCCCCAGAGATTTGGGTCCGGAGTTCTGGATGAGCTATGAGATTGTACATTGAAAACCCCCATCTGTGATTCTGCTGCACCCCGTCAGTCCCTACGGTGCCGTATACTCTACAGGTGGTACGTTTGCTGGGAGAACAGTCTGCTCTGAAGGGAAGGTCTGTGTATCTGCCTCATAGAATTGCTCTTCAGAATCAGTCGCAAAAATCCAGGCTGCGTGGTGGAGAAATTGCTTTTTGTGTGATAGAAAACGTTGGTTATGGATGATGATGTTAACACCTTAAATTAGATTAAACAGAAGCTAATGTGTCTATGTCTTAATTTAAATTTTCTATATCCATTTAATTAAATTGCATGATTTAAATACGGAGAGTTCTTTGAAATGAAACGCTGAGAATTGAGAACTGTTATGTCATTTCTAAGATAACCTTTTGTTCGCTTGCTTTGTTGGCTTGTTTGAAATAACATGACAAGAACATCAGACTTGGCAAATGAAGCTTTGTTCTTCTTTCCCGCAGATGGCTCAGATTCCAGAGATAAGCCCAAGCTTTACCGCCTTCAGTTGAGTGTCACTGAGGTTGGGACAGAAAAGTTCGATGAGAACTCCATCCAGGTGTGCAGGCGAGCCGCGGCTCTACCACCATCTGTCCTTATATTCGGGTGGGAAGAGGCACGTGGTACAGGGCCTGTGCATGGTAGCAGATACAGGAACAGACACACAGGAAAGACTTTATTCTTTTATAACTGTGTGCTCTGGCTCACTTTCCTTTGCCTTAGCACGACCAGAGCAGACTGTGACATTACGTCCACTCCCCACCTCTGGAAACTTGACCTGGTTTGTGGAGTTCCTCCGAGACTGTTGGCTTTTCTCCAGAAGATCGTGATAACTTTGTGGGTCTTTTTCAGGATCAGGGGAGGTAGCCTGCTGCTGGGTCTGCTGCCCATCGTGGTGGGCATTCCCTGGGCTGTAGTTAATGGTGTTAGCCAGATATGGTACTCAGGTGCTCAGTGAAAACAGCATAGCATGTTCTTTAAATGAGGAAGGCCGGGGTTCCTTACCTGATTGAACTCAGCTGACCTCCAGCAGACTGCCCCTTCCCTGTGCTGTCATTTCCCAGTTGCAGATGATGGGTCGGGTTATTTAGTGTCATTTTCAGTTCTGACATCCCTTCCTTCAGCACAACAGTAAAACAGATAAATAGAGTTTGTAATCCTAATCATCTGTACAGATTTATTCTTATCTAATGTTTAAGATGACCATGTGCTTTTCAATTCAGATTTATAGTGTGTCTTAAAGCAAGTTACTTGATGCTAAACATAATGTGTTCAATAATTCTGAGACTATTTTGACAGTGTTTATTTCCTTTTATACTGTGGGGGGGTTCTACTTAAAAAGCACTAAAAATCTAGTTTATTTTATTATATTTATCATAAAAGAGGAACTCATGGTTTTAAAATGCTGGGTTTTTGTTTTTATTTTTAAGTAGGTTCCATGCTGGGCATGGAGCCCAGTGTGGGGCTTGAACTCATGACCTTGAGATCAAGACCTGAGCTGAGGGCGCCTGGGTGGCTCAGTTGGTTAAGCGACTGCCTTCGGCTCAGGTCATGATCCTGGAGTCCCGGGATCGAGTCCCGCATCGGGCTCCCTGCTCGGCGGGGAGTCTGCTTCTCCCTCTGACCCTCTTCCCTCTCGTGCTCTCTCTCATTCTCTCTCTGTCTCAAATAAATAAATAAAATCTTTAAAAAAAAAAAAAAGACCTGAGCTGAGATCAAGAGTCAGCCACTTAACCAACTGAGCCACCCAGGGGCCCTAAAAATTCTGTTTTTAAATACCATGTCCTTTATGATGGAAGTTTCTTTGATTTTATTTTAGCTGTTTGGATCAGGAATTCAGCCCCATCACTGTGACCTCACAAACATGGATGGAGTTGTCACTGTCACGCCGAGAAGCATGGAGGCCGAGACTTATGTGGAAGGACAGCGCATCTCAGAGACAACCATGCTGCAGAGTGGGATGAAAGTGCAGTTTGGGACGTCACACGTGTTCAAGTTTGTGGACCCGAGCCAGGACCACGCTCTGGCCAAGAGATCTGGGGATGCAGGCCTGACCGCCAAGGGTCCCAGACACAAGCCTGGGTAATTGCTATCCATCAGCTTTAAGAGTTTAGGGTGGTTTGATTTATCTGTAAAGGAATCTGAATTCGGCATACATGACAGGTGGTTTTATTTTTAAAATTCAAAGTACGGTTTGTTGTTCTTGTTGATTTGGGTTGGTTGCAGAGGAAAGAAGAAGAAAGGGGTCTTGGCTTTATTGTAAAATTGAAGTTGTGGGCTGGTTTTTAAATTAGGGTTAGGGTTAGGAGTAATGAAACACCCTAGGAACTCTTTAAGGAATTAAAAATAGTTTAGCTCCACCTAGTGCCTTTCTGAGGACTTGCAGTGTGGGCCTATTACCAGAGAACACAAACCCTTACTGATCATCTAATTAAACTGCTTGACAGGGGAGGGAGTAAGACTTCCTTTTTGGTAATGGTAATTTTTTAAAAGAATACACTGTTTAGCCCCTTTGTCACCCAGCTTGCAGGCTGCTAGGGCATGGGTCTGGGAGAGTTGTTGCCACGGCCCTTCCCACACGCTGTGGCAGGCAGCCAGAGTCCGCTGAGTTCAGAGCAGCTCTGCCCCACCAGCACCGTGGACACAGCGTGTGGGTGGTCTTCTCACCGCTGCCTGTCCTGTTATTTTGTTCTGTGACCTACCTTTGCTTAGCTACGCGGAGTTGATACTCTCGGGCAGGTGCGAATTGTTAGTTTCTTCGTACTGGTCTTTTGCCAGTTTCCCAGCATTGTAAACTCTACTGCCATCTTTCTTGGAGGGTTATTAGGTCATTCTGTGTCCATCTTGAATCCTGGCCCAGAAAAGGGATAAAAGGCAGCTAATACAAGTAAGACTTAATATCTTTCTCCAGGATGACACTTCGTGGATCATCACAAGTGTTCCCCTAGGCACATGGGACGTGGGAAATGTCATGGGGTGAGACCTTCTCCCAGCTGCTCACCTCCAGCTCCATGTTTCGTTTCAGCCAAGGACCCGTCCCTTGGTTCCCAAGGAAAACCATTGTGGGCCTTGACTTCTCAAGAAAGCCCATTTCTGCCTGAATAGTCTTCCAGCTTTAAACGGAATGTGTATCTAAAGTCATCCTTCCGTTTTGTGTCTTGGAGGACCATTTGTTTTATATTCCCTTTTTAAGGCAGTATTTACTTATGAGCCACGTCCGCATTTCCTGCCCCTCATCGTGACCTCTACCATGGCCCCTTTGTTTCAGCCGACAGTTCGGATGGTTTCCATTCTAATTCTCCGTTCTTCTTCAGGCCTGCATCTTCCTTTCAGCACCAGACGGGGTGACAGGCTGAGGTATGCCTGTCTGAGAGTCTTACTTGCCATTTACCTGTAGGATGTTTGGCCAAAGAAATCATCGTGTGGAATGGTTTCTTCTGGCCTGTTGCACGTTGTTTTTCAAGCGGTACCTGCAGTTTTTCCCAATCGTACTTCATTCCTGAGTGGTAGATCATACTTATTTTGATGGTATGTGTTGCAGTTGTAGTGATAAGACTGTGCCTGTCCCATCACTACAGTCCTTGAGTTTTGCCCGGCAGGGTTTTCTGGTTGTCTGTATGCAAGGTCCCTCCCCAGTTGTTTGCCGTAATGGCTCCTGCTTTGGAGGCCTGCCCACGGTGTCTGTTTTCATCTTATCTCTGGCCAAAAGCAGAATCATACTAAGAACATGGTCTAGGTTTCTTTGATGGGAATGTGCTATGAAATTTTATGTTTATTATTACATCTTTTCCTTACAAACCTAGTGAAAACTGCTCAGTGGTTGAATATACCAGTACTTATATGTACATCATAAATTAGAAAGAATTTTCATTTTTTTTATAAACACTAATTTTGTTCTATTGTCAAACTATCATACATATGTCTAGGTAGATAACCCATGGTTTGTTTTTTTTCATGGATGTGTGTATATATTTTTTTTATTGAGGTATAATTGACATGTGTTAGTTTCAGGTGCAAAGCATAATGATTCAGTGTTTATATTTTTGCTGAATGATCACCACAGTAAGTCCAGTTACCATCCATCACCATACATGGGTACTTTTTTTCTCTTGTGATGAGAAGTTGTAAGATTAGCTCTCGCCAACCTTCAGGTACGCGGTACAGTACTAGTAACTATAGTTTCCGTACTGTATGTCACATCCCTGTGACTTAAATTTACAACTGGAAGTTTTTGACCCACTTTACCCACCCACCACCCCTGCCTTTGGCAACTACCAGTCTGTTCTTTTGTGACTATGAGCTTAGGTTTTTTGTTTTGTGTTAGATTCCACACGTGAGTGAGATCATACAGTATTTGTTTTTCTCTGTCTGGCTTATTTCCCTGAGCACAGTGCTCTCCAGTTCCATCCATATTGTGCAAATGGTAAACTTCCCTTCTTTCTTATGGCTGAATTAACATTCCATTTTATATATGTATATAGCTAATATATGTTAGTTATGTATATAAACAAATATAAGTATACAAGTATATTTGTATAAGTTACATGTATATAAATATAAGTTAAGTATATATAAATATAAAACTAATATATTTTTGATGGGAGTCTTTAGGGTTTCCTATAGGTAATACCATGTAATCTGCAAATAGTGACAGATTTATTTCTGTTTGGATGCCTCTAATTTCTTTTTCTTGCCTAATTGCTCTGGCTAGGACTTCCAATACTGTGTTGAATAAAAGTGGTGAGAGTGGGCATCATTGTCTTGCTCCTGATCTTAGAGGAAAAGCCTTCAGGTCTTCATCATTGAGTATGGTGTGGCTGTGGCCATGTCATAAATGGCCTTTATTATATTGAAGTACATTCTGTCTGTACCCTCTTTGTTGAGAGTTCTTATTGTAAGCGGATATTAAATTTTGTCAGATGCTTTTTCTGCATCTCTTGAGGTGATCACGTGATCTTTATCCTTTATTTTGTTAATAGGGTGGACCACATTGATCTATGTGTGGATGTTGAACACCTGCACCCCTGGAATAAATCCCACTTGATCTTGATGTGTGATCCCTTTAATGTAATGCTGAATTTGGTTTGCTCATATTTTGTACAAGGTTTTTGCATCTCTGTTCATCAGGGATATTGGCCTGTAATTCTCATTTCTTGTGCCCTTGTCTGGTTTTGGTATCAGGGTAATGCTGGTCTTGTAAAATTAGTTTGAAAGAGTTCCCTCCTCTTCTGGATTTTGGAGAGTTTGAGAAGGATTGGTATTCATTTTTCTTTGAACATTTGGTGGAATTCACCAGAAAAGCCATCTGGTCCACGACTTTTGTTTGTTGGGTGGTTTTTGATTAATGATTCGATCTCCTTGCTAGTAATCCATCTGTTCAGATTCTCTATCTCATCATGATTCAGACTTGGTAGTTTGTATGTTTCTAGGACTTTATCCATTTCTTCTAGGTTGTCCAGTACCAGTTGCAAAGTCTTCTCTTTTAATTTCTGATTTTATTTTATTTATTTCTTTCCCTCTAGTAACCTTGGGCTTTGTTCTTTTTTTTCCTAGTTCCGTGAGGGATACATGATGCATGTGTTCTTAATTGCAGATTTCAGGGTCTGTGTCTTCAAATCCTTAGTGGATGGTAGACTAGCAAAGTAGCACAATTTGATGTTGATGGTCAGGGTGAGATTTCTGTTGATGTATTTGATGCACTCATTCACCTTTTCATGTATGTATTCATCCAGCCTGCATTCATGGGGCACCTGTGTCACATGTCACTGTCCTCTGGGCTGAGGTGGCCAGGACATGGTTCTTACCCTCAGTGGTTATACTTAGATAATGTCATTAAAGTCATAAATAAGTCACTTTGTAATCATTTACGTATCCAGAATGTAGTACAAGTGGGTCCATGTTAAACTTTAAAGTCTTGTTAGCTTTGGGGGGAAAAGTAAAGAGCTTTGCATGGTGTTGAGTAGATTTGTTATTTTAGGATGATAATCACGTGTGGAGTCAAGAAGGCTTTGGCTGTATTTCGTACATCAGTAACATGGAGTTAGGGATAGGTGCGGTGTGTATGTAGCTTTGATAGATGGTGGAGGGAGGTGAGCTGTCGTACTTCTGCTTTCATTATCAGAGACAAAGTAACTCAACTGAATTTCCCATTCCAACCATTAGAAACCAGGAGAACTTTCTATGTTTTGTGAATATCTTGGTGACAGAGGATAAGTGACAAAGTATTTGGCTTTTAGTATAAGCTTTTACTTTCTCAAGTTACTATTTTAAAGTATGATACTGTTTTGTATTATAAGATGATTTTATTTTCATAGTGATGCAGTAGAGGAGGAATTTGTACCTGATTTTCTAATTTGAAAAATTGTTTTGAACTTCTCCATCACTTGTGGTTTCATTCTATAGATTGGGCTTAAATACAAGTTTAAAGTTACCACGGTGCTGTGAAACTAGACAGATTTATTTATTTTATACACACACACACACACACACACACACATATATAAATAACAAAAGAGATTGTCATTCTTTTTGATTACCTTGGGCAGAAGCCCAGGAAATTTAAGCACTGACCTATCCTGTTGGTTTCCAGGTGTTTTTAGGGCTCTTTTTCCCCCCTTTTTTGGGGCCTCTCTCTTGGTCTGGGATTAATGGATTGTATTTACCTTTATTTGTGCCGAAGAACCATAGCTTGCTTCAGGTTATTGAGTCTTCAAAATGAATTTTGTTTTTTCTGAATTTATGGTTTTAAAAGTTTGGTGTCTTTAGATATTCTAAGAAATTGTTTAAAATAGAGTAACTCTTGATCTGATTACTAACATTATACAAAAGTTCCCCATTTCTTTATTATAGCCTAAGTAGTGGTATCCATGAGCTTTTAAAAAAATCATCAGATTGGCTTTGGGAGGATGGCGGCTTCGCGCCCGTGCCTTATCCTCCAATGAACACGGTTGCCTTCCCTGTACCAGCAAGTGGACTCATGAAACCGCAGACATCTGCACTTCATTTATGTGCTGTTATGTGATGAAGCAGCGTGCTTTTATCTTTTATGGTTCTTTTTAATTTATTGTTATTAAAATATAGTCTTAAAAAATATGATCCTGAGAGTATTCAGTATATAGCAGTAAGAAAAGTTCATAAAGTTTTTGTTTTTTAAAGATTTTATTTATTTGAGAGAGAGTGTGGCAGAGGGAGAGGGGGAAGCAGGCTGCCTGCTGAGCAGGAAACTGGACTTGGGGCTCCATCCCAGGCCACTGGGATCATGACCTAAGCTGAAGGCAGACGCTTAACTGACTGAGCCACCTGGGTGCCCCGAAAAGTTCATAACGTTTTAACAGCTTTTTTATTCTGTAACTTTATATGCTGAAAATAAAGCGATTTCTTGAGGCTCTTTGAATTGGGATATTTAGCCGTTTCTTTTGTATTATTGAGAAAAAAGATGTCTTATGATTCGAGAGTTACTAATTCTATGTATTTCTTTCTTTTTTTTTTATTCTGAAAGAATTGTTCAAGAGACAACTTTTGATTTAGGAGGAGATGTTCATAGTGGAACAGCATTAACAACAAGCAAGGTAGGTAATTTACGTGACGTGATTAGACTGTGTTTGGGGGGCATTATAGGACACCATGGATGAATTATTGGTGATATACTCGTAGAATTATTGCGAAGACAAACTTCACTGTGGTCTCTAACTGAGGGTTGTCCTAGTCTGTTGTGCTGCCTCTTAGTGATACATAACAGGCCTAAGGCCGGGGAACTGTGCTTTCTCCTCCAAGCAGTGCATCCTAGGCTCATCCTCTCAGTAACCCTTCTTGGCCAGGTGACCTCCGAAGAAAACGGACTTCCCTCTCATCCACCTGCCAGCTTACCTTCGCAGGCACTTTGCTTCCACAGTCACCCCTTATCTTGCATGATAAGGAACTTATGTCCTCATTTTGGTTATCTGTCGCTCAGTAACAAACCTCCCCAAAACTTAGTGGACTAAAGTAAAACAGCACCCACTTTATTTACTGACAGTTGTGCAGTGTTGTTCAGACTCACCAGGGCTGTTTGTTTGCTGGTCTTGCTGGTGGTGACCCATGTTGCCGCATTCAGCTTCTGGTGGGTTGGTTGGTGGCCTGGCTGGGCCTCCCCTCTCCCTGTCACCTCAGGTTCTCTCCCTGGGACCTCTTGCCCATCTCTCCCTGAGGACAGCCAGATGTTTTGGTGCCTCACAGAATCATGGAATTGACAGGCCTTCTTAAGCTTGGGCCAGAGCTGGTGCCCCGCTTTGATTCCCTCACCTTCTGTTGGTTAAAGCCAGACACAGGCTTAGTGCGGAATCAGGGAAGGAGCTGCTCCAGGTGTGGCAGGCTGAGGCTGCCGTGCTGCAGCACCGGCCCCGACATGCTGTAGCACCTCCCGTTCTTAAACACCCGTCCTGGGCCCTCCAGCTGTTGGCCCCAGTTTTCTGCTTCTCTTCATTGTGTGATTTCTTGAGGAGGTCGTCTCTGCTCCGCTTCCTGTTACCCCCTCTTCTTGTCTTCGTAGGGACTTCCTGTTACC